ATAGAGTCTTACACCCTATTTCACTGACAATTTGGCCCGATTTAGGGTTAGGGTTAGGTTAGTGTTACGTATTAGCTGCTATTGTCACGTTGATCATACGTACTACCTAGCATCGGAAAATTAAATGTTATAAACAATTAAAAAAGCCGATTCGTGAAACAAATTTATTTTTAACAAAGCTGAGACATAATTCGGAGTGAATACGTCCACGAAAAAAAAATGCTATAATTGGGATATAGAATTGAATTCCTTTTTTAAAAAATCATTTGTCAATGACTTTATAAACTATAGGCTTTGATGCAAGAGAATAAAAAGAGAAGACAAAATTAAGGTGTTTGAACTAAAAGAAAATTTTGCTTGAATTCCCAAATTATTCAGTCCTAAATCTCAAAATACAGTATTTCATTCATGTATAGAAGATTTCCATTAGATAACGTGATGTAATAACGTGAGAAATCCAATTAACATAATAGTACACGATTTTTTTCGGAAACATTATTTTAAAGAACGTGTTATTATAACGAAAACGCGTTCATTCAGGTTAGCAATATAATACAGAAGAGTGTTAAGATGAAACAAGGATAATTTTTTATCTTTTTCATTTTGTCAATTTTAAACTTAATTGCGGCTTAAAAAATCACGGTCTAGTTTATACTAAATTTAGATAATTTGACTACCCAAAAGATTGTTAGATGACAATTATAGAACAACCTATCAATGAATACATGCTCTACTGCTTAGATTATTGCTTACAAAATAATTTTATACAACTCCGATGTTATACATCAGGAAACTTCTATCATTGTATAAATTGATTGATTAATAAGCATTTATAGATGTTATCTTCCTGATGTATCGGAGTTTATGTATGAAATTGGTGGTAATGGTAATAAAATTAGTTGATGCCGTAGCTAAAAAGTATAATATTCTTTTTTTAAATCCATCTATATATTACTATTTTAATAGTTACATATAATATTTACTTTTTAGTGGATTATACTACGTACAATTAAACATATATATCTGATATATGTATGCACAATTATGTATTTCCTTATCTAGAATACTGGACCTCTCATATTTCAAAATTGAATTTACTCGTTTCATTTAAAATGCTTATGAAATAACGTGTTACAATATTCCTTTCTCGCCGTCAAACTTGGCGAGGGAAAAATTAGAATGCAAAACTGTATACCATATATTACAATGTGCATCTATTGAATATTAAAGCTTGTGTAATAATAATCCGAACATTGTTTTTTTTTTAAATAATGGGATTATTGTTTCTAGACGAAACGTGTTAGTGTGACAATAGAAGAATTATGGTGTTGAAGGTTAAATGCGGACTTTTGTTGTAATTATAAATATCGTTCTGAATCGTTCTGAAATGTTTTTTTTTTAATAAACTTTTGTCAAATCTTCTTCAAAAATTATAAATTATTTTTTTCACTCGTTCAAATATTGCATAGCTATTTTTATTATATTTGGCTCAAAATGCAAAGGCATCAATCAACAAGCTGGTCTAATAACCATTATAGATGTAGTTGTTGTTTTCCAGGTCCCTATTCCTCAGAACACGTTTGTCCTATATTACCAATACCCGAACCTACTTACAATTCTGACTTATATTCTTCAAATCGCATTCCAAATTCACAAAATATTTCTCAGTATCACCAAAATGAACCGACTTATTATCGTAACAGACACAACAGTGACAACTCGAATTCTAGTCAGAATACCTATTATCGTTATAGACATAGTAACGACAACTCAAATTCAAGCTTGAGTCAGAATATGAATACTTATACTCATCAACAACATCCTCAACATCCTCCGACCAGTTTCACATCACAATTTTATAATCAATCATCAGATCTAATATTAAATCGTTTATCATGTTTATTTATGATAAATGCATTAAGTTCATTGTTATCTCGAGCAGGATCTCGAATTCGTCAACACAATTCCTCACGTAGCCCATCACCTCAGAATGCGAATCTCGAAGAATTTACTGTGGTAATCCCAGTAATTGATCATAAAGTTAAGAAGAATTTAAATGATTCTCCGATGAAGAATCCACCTTTTTGGAGAAGATTGACCTGGTCCTTCTTAACAATTTTAAATGTTTATACATTTATTGGGAGTGTTTTTTTAATGGTTATTTTGTCCATAAATGGGAATATCACAAAGGTTAGTCTATTTTAAATTCTAGATAATTATTATTTTTTTTTTTTTAAAGAAAGTGTTCATATGATAATCTCTCTCTATATATAAATTTTATTAGACGTTTTCAAGGTTAAATTATTTTATTATAATCATAGGAACCTTAGAATTTGCTCCACGTATGATGAATATTTATCAAATCCATCTTTACACCAATGGAAAAATTAACTTTTGTGAAGCTTTGGCTATTATGTTTGGTACACAAAATATTCATTTTTATTATCAGAAATATTTAGTATTTGATATTATCAATATTTGTTATTATATAAACTTTAACATAATTTATACATATAGGCAAAAAAGAACTATATTTACTCTATGGTAAACATCATATATCTTATAGACAGATCTCAAGTGTAAGTTACACAACCGATGTGCTCACTTTCATTTATTGGGCATTCCTAAGTTACGAGTTTGTCTCAGAAATTCAGAAAAATTTAGGAAATACCATAGAATTTATCTTATTGTATAATAAGCAAGGATTTTTAATGTTTACATTACTAGGTGTTGTAACGTTAATTATTGTAAAAATTATATGGGGTCTTATTAAACGGGCTGTATATTTTTTTGATAGACATATTTGATCATCTCTACCTTGGTGGAAAGAATAGTAAGTGAACGAATTAGGTTTTAGTATGTATATGTTTGTAAATGAATATTTCACTAGATTTAATCTGATATGTCGACCACATGCATTTAAAAATATAACTGTACAGCAGTTGAAAAAAAGAATAAATAACTGATCAAATCTACAGTGCATCTATGAATGGTTGTACAATAAATTATTATTGAAACATTGTATTACAATTACTGTATCAATACGTAAATATAACATCGGTATTTGGAATTTTTTAATTAAATTTAGCAAATAGTAGTATAACTGATTATTTTCATATAAATCTTTTAATTGAATTCTAAATTTAATTAAAAAATTCGGAATCTACTTCTATCTTTCAAGTAATTATTTTTAGTAACAGAAAGAAGATCAACAGTTTCAGTGCTTAATTATAATCTCACTTTATATAAGTATCAGCTTAAAGAAAAATGTAAAACACGAATAATACAAAATCAAACATTGCTATGACTGGCTGGGAGAGCGATGCATAGTTTATGCGCGGTTAGTCATAACTCTGGATCAGAGTTGTCATTGGACAATGTCCAAATAAATTCAATTGGATTTCTTGACATTTGGACATTGGACAGTGTCCAATATGTCTAAATAATTTTTTGGACCGTTAGGCAATAGACTATGTCCAATGAAAATTTAATATTAATCGGAAATATTCCAATTAGATTATGGGTTTTTGCTTGGAAAATCAAGTATGGATCATATGATTTACTATGTCCCATAACGTAATTTTCAAGGCAAAGACCACATATGTCCAATTGTCCAATAATATACTTGGATACTATCGCTGTTCTCGGTTATCGAAAATAATATTTTCTATGTCCAATAAAAATTTATAATGTCCAAATGTCTAAATCGTCCAAATATCCAAATGCCCAAATTATCCAATTGTCCAAATTGTCCAAATGTCCAATCTTATAGCGTAACATCCCTGCCCTGGATTGATTACAACAACATATTTCATATTCGATAGGGCGAGACTAGAATATCAATGATAGTTAAGTAAATAAAAAGGTGATTATGCAATTTAGGCTGTTTAAGGTGCATTTTAGATTTTCGATATTTTGGACTCGGATTTAAACAAAGACATTACGTATGCCACAAAGCATTTGGGGGCCCCACAGCAAAAGAATGCTTAGGGCAATTTTACAAATTGAACTTTATCTCATGATTTAGTAATCAGAATTAAATAATTTTTAATTTCTTGTATTGAGATGAATCTAATAAAATAAAAACTATTTAATTCTGATTACTAGATCATGAGATATACTTATTTAAAGTTCAATTTTTAAAATTGCCCAAAGCCTTTTTTGCTGTGAGGGTCCCCATTTGATTATTTAATTCATGTGACTGGCGAATATCATTTAACGGACAGCGGCGCAATTTATAAATTTTTGGTGGTAAGTTACCGTAAGTTACCAGAAGTAATTTATATTTTATTCCGAATGTCTCCGTATTTTAGATTAATTAATTATCTATTATAACGAATCTTTCAGCGCTTTTCAAGAAAGCATACCACTAAAATTTATGATGGTAAGTTACCACCAACAACCCTGTTCATCGGAGTCGGGTCGGTATTAAGCAATAATGCTGGTCAATTATGCATATGGGCGGAAATTTCCAATTTCTGTGATTATTTAGATTAAACGATGAGATTAAATAGAATCTAAGCCAAAAAATATTATGTATCATCACGACCCGTTGCTATGGCGACCATAATACGTATGAATCGCTTATCCCATTTATGACTAGGCAAGACTAAAATGTGTGACAGGTTGATCGACAAAATTAAAATCTGTCACATTTTAGTCTTGCGATAGTAAATGACTTGATCATTTGATCGGAAGTTAAATAACCCCCGTCATCAAATAATTGGTCGAATAGCTAATAACTCTATAAAAGCCATCAAACAATTATTTTCTAGTATAAAAGTCAAAATTTTGCTAAGTCAATCGATATTTGTGTCTCAAGTATTTAAATTAGTGTTATGACCATTGTAGCAACTCGGGTGGGAACAGGTGGGTCAACCCGCGGGTCAACCTGCGAGTTAACCTTCTGATTAGAGATGTGACCCGGACGCAATTTCTTCACTCGGGTTACCCGTGGAACTTGAAATCGGGTGACCCAGGTGAAAACAGTTTGCAGCTAACATAGGAAGACTTTCACTTTGGTTTGTTCAATTTATGTCAATTTACATTGCAGAATTATAATATACAGTATGAGCGATCTCTGTGATTATTTAGATTGAACGATGTGATTAAATAGAATTTAAGCCAATAATATATAAAATATGATGTGATTAAAAGTGATGATTTGATCAACAATTGTAAATTGCTTATGAATCGCTTATGAATTGCTTATGAATTGCTTATGAATTGCTTATTGTTATATCTATTTATGAGTGATCCGAACAGGTTAGTTAGAATAACCAAATTAACCTGAATCGGATCAATTTTGGATCATTTAAGCTAAGCTGTTTATATGAGTATTACTTTGTTATCATCTAATTTTAATAACCACAGTGCTATATGTTTAGCTGGCAGCAAGAATAAGCATTTATAAAAAGAGGTTTCAAAATCAACTAATTTCCAAAATAAGTAGCAGTAGAGATTTAAGAAATTGGATTTGTACTTTAAAATTTTGAAATCAGAAAATAAAATAGCAGTGTTTAAATTATGAAAGATATAAACTTTTTTAGTAATATATCAGAAAGTAAAAGTGTTGTTTAATAATAAATAAACTTATACTTATTATAAAAAGAACTGCTATTTGCACCATGGATAATCACACAAATTTTACTAACTTTGATCGAAGATATCTTGATTACCACTATACCAAATTTGATAAAAAATTTTTTATTCAAATTCTACAAATCTATAGAATTCAAATAAAAATTATTTCATCGAATTTGGTGCAGTGAGCATAGTAGACATTCGATTTTATTGGCTCATAAAACCCTGAGTCACACAATATAAAAAAAATTTTTTAAAGTAAATTTTACTATGAAAAGCTACTTCGTCAATTAGCAACTTTCAGTTTTACAAAGTAAAGTTTAACTAAAACATTTTATAGGTTTCTTTTTCTCTCAAGATATCTATTAAGGGTAGAGTACAATAAGTTTAAATTATATATAAATCTGATGTTCAATTTTTTTTATATTTTAATTTACTAAA